AATCACACGTATGAAGGTTTCAGTACATCTAGGACAGAAGAACTGAAACCATTTGTGCTTAAAATACATTACACGTGTGCCTCAGCTGCAAAACAGTTACTTAAAAGACGCTAAAGCACTGATTTAACAAACTGGGGATTCAGAAAACCCGAGTGCCAGTCTTTTTGCCCATGACCCGTTTCCCTGGGCATTCGGTGGGGCAGACAGCCCCATTTCCCTCCCTCAGCTCCTGCTGTGACAGTGCTGCGTGCCTTGCCTTGCACAGGGACTGGACATTGCCTTGTCTCAGTTTTCCTCCTAGTGTTTTCTGCCGAGTTAATTCATCAAAGCTGGTGGTGAAGTTTCCCCTCAGCTTTCGTCCTCACTGCATTCTTTAAATATTTAGTACAAGCATGTCTTTACATCACGCTGACTGAAGTTGAGTATTTCCTCCCAGGAGCTCCGGTTGCTGGCAGTGGAGGTGAGGCAGGGAGAAGGCCAGGGAGTGGGAAAGGTCCCCGTGGAGCTGGGAGGGCACCAGGGAGGACAGTCTGCTGAAAAGAAGAAAAATCAGCAAAGGCAGAGGGAGAGCGCAAGAGAAACAGGATAAACAGGCAAAGAGGGGGACTTAGGTTGAGATGAGGTGGAGAAGGTGCTTGGCTGGGGATGGTTTTATACAGTGCTTTCAGAAGGATGAGAAGACAACCTGGATGGAGACAGAAAAGCCAGGGGAGAGACAGCTGGCCCAGTTCATTCGGAAATAAAGAGAAAAAGGGAAGCGAGGACATATCTAGAGGGACAGGAGTAGGTAATAACAATTAATAATAATTACAGAGTGAACTACTGAGATGTGTTCACTTCAACTTCAGCACCAGGCGACAGCAATCACTCACATTCTGTACAGCAGGAGCTACATGGTAAGAATCACAGCTTCTAGAAATTATATTTAAAAGCAAACATTTTGGCCTCCTGCTTCCTTCTTGCCCCTCCCCCCCCAATTATCTTTTATTCATTTTGATTTTTAATAGATCCCCTGGGAAGCTAGAAATATGTTGTTGCTGGGACAAATTGCCCACCAATGTATATGCTTTATAATTCTCTTTATTAAAATCTTTCTTTTTAAGAAACACAAATTGAAACACTTTGCAATCAGTTACACAGATCAGTTAATATTGGTGACAGTTCCTACATAATTAAATAAGTACTAACAAATTCCAACTGTTTACAAGCCAAAACTTAAATTAACAAGATTATATAAGCTCAATAAATAGTACATCTGGTCCAGTTCAAGTATAATTCAACAAATCACAGCCTGAATCCTTAGAGAATAGAAAAACCCTGAATATAACCAGCCTAACACTAATTTAGTGTTAAAGCCAATATGAAACTTTGTCTAATCTTATGGGGCAAATGTTTAATTCTTTTATTTTTTACTTCAAAGAAAGTAAATCGCAGATTGACATTAAAGACTATTTGAGATCAATACAGATTTCACAAAGATGGAAATCACAGTCCCTATTAAAAAAGTGCAATCTTTGGTTGAGATGTGTTGAAATGGTTTGTATATATTAAGGAAGCTCCTTTTTAAATATCAATATTTGTTTGGCTAGACCTGAGTCTGCTTTGTGCTATATATATATATATGTATTAATAAACAGCGTGGATGATAGTGATGATGAATTATGCCAACTAAAAAAAGTCAAGATTTTCAATATAATAAACCAAACGGAACAACACATTTTTTACACAAGCTGAGAAAGGTAAGCAGCTGCCTACAGTGGCCTTCTTCCTCAGCAGAATAGGTAGTAGAGAGAAGTTGAGTGCCTGTCAGCATTGCATGATGGCCTGTTGGAGAGGGAAGGAGATTATCTCTGAGTTCTCAAAGTGCATCAGGCCGAAAAGTGATCATAGGGATCATTAGGAGCTAGTTGAGACTTGGGATTGCTTTTAACTGCTTTCAAATGTTGAGTTTTAGAGGGAGAAAGGACCTTCTCAGAAGGGGAATCGCCCATTTGGCCGTACCCAGGATTTTGCGGATTGCTGTTGCATCAAGACAGAGCCCAAAGGGATGGGGTGTCCAAACCACCTCTACAAATGTCTGGGTCTGATCACGTCTGCGGGGCTGGGCACTGCACCTGCATCACTCACCTGAGTCATCTACCGCCAGAACAGGAAACTACAGGGCAGAGATGCCATCTGTAGCCTCCTCCTTCCTCATGGCAAGCAAGGGCCTGTCCCCATGACCCAAACAAGGTATCTGGAGCCAGGACAGTTCCTGGTGAGACTCGGTCAAGACTCCAGGTTTTGGAGCCTGGGATGGAGACCGAGACTTAAGCGCTGGGGGACTGAAGGATACACTGAGGCCCACTCCCTCAGGAAGGGATTTTGTGTGTCTGATGCAACTGGCCAGGAAATAAAAAGGAGGTTAAACATGCAGGCTGTGAATAATGGGAGTGAACCTGGTTCAGAATCAGAGGAGGGGGAAAGTAGTTTGAATCATCTCCCGTAAATCCAAAAATAAGCCCCTGGGTAAACACTCACTTTAATTATTCCTCTGCTGCCAGTCAAAATCTCATGGTTACCTACTGCCTTCCCTGCCTGCCTGTATCCACCTGTTGTCTGTTTTCAGAAAGTCTGATTTAAAGCTCTTTGGCCTGGGAAAGTCTTTGTTGTGGATTTGTGCCGTGCCTATAATAAAGGCAGTGGACCTGTAGCTTCTACTGCAATCCAAATAAAGAATAATAACAGTGATACTTTTCTCATTTGAGGTTACCTGGGGATAAAGTTGCTGGAGGCATATGACTTTGATATACAGTCAGCTATGTCTCACATCCAATTAAGCTTAACCACATGGTCTAACAAGCTCCCATTAGGCCGGTGAGAGCCCCAGTTTGATAGCAGGGTTAGCTTCAAAGATTTGATGCTTGCATTTGTAGCGATTTCCTTCCCTTGTGCTGAAGGGCATGAAGGGAGCTTCATATGCAGATGATACATGACCAGCTTGAGAGCTGTGCTTTAGAAGACAATTGCACAATCTTTACTGCCATTTTCGTAATCTTAGAGCTTGCAATAAAAGCTCTTGCCCTAACAGCCCTGTGCTCAAATTTCACTGCAATGTGAAAAACAAACAGTCAAAATAAAACCCAGCCCTTGAAGGAAAAATACCTGGTCTGCAATATTATTATTTTTTTCCATAGGGGAAAAAAAAAAAAAAAAGCGCGCTATTTTAAATGACAGATGGACCCAAGTCTTAATATACTTCAAGTCTGGACAAAGGAGGGTTTAGGCTGTAATGTTTTTCATTTCCCCTTGTCTTTTGGCTAGGCCACGTCTGAATCTGGGATGCAAAGAATCCCTCAACTTGCGAGAAGCAGGAATTCCAAATATGAAATCTGAACCCAGCTCTGGTAGAACTGAGTGGAAAGCACAGGCCATGAAATGGAACAGGGCTTCAGGCAACACCACCAGTCACCTCAGAGACACACTGCCTGGCTACAGGGTACTTCAGAGAACGACCATGGCTGCTGGCACAAGACATAATGGAACAAATACTTTGGTGGAAGCAGTTTTGGCAATTTAGCCACTTTTGTGACATCCGTGTCATTCTTGGGGATGGCTAGAACCTTCTGGGAAACAATTTCCTCTGCACAACATCTAAGCAGGACATGAAGCACCAGCAACTTTTACAGAACATACTGTGATGAATATTAGAGTCAGGCAAAGAATGGAAATACATCTGCAAATCCCCATCTGTCTAGATTGTGTGAGGCATTTTATAAAAGTGTAACTCTGGGATCAATTCTGGCAATGGTTTGCATACGTATTCACTTTACTACACAAAGCCTATTGAAATGAACCAGAAACTTGTACGGTGCGTTTCAAAGGGACTTTGCAAAATACTAAGCAACAACTGTGCAGAAACAATAGCTCGTAATAATGCCAGAGCTGCTGGTGCATCCTGTGTTCTCAGTGCAGCACTCTGTGAGCCATCGGTTTTTGTATTCGCCTTAAAAAATTCAGGGAAATAAAATACAAAAACAATATTAAAAGTCTGGCATCTTTCCATGAAAACCAGGAAAATTCAACATTGCCAAGCTGAGGAAAAGCAAGCTTGAAAGAAAACAAAAAGACCCCAAAAGCAAGGATCTTGAATAAAATGTCTAAAAGAGACATGGTCCGAACATGTGGTGCTTTAAAAAGCCTCTCGTGAGAGTTTCAAGTCTGTAAGACTCAAAGTTGGCACCCTTTAGAATTATCAAAAAGAAGAGTTTTGAACACAACGGTACCTGGAGAGCATCCTGATCACCCCATGGAAGAGGCTGAAAACCAGAGCAGGTTAGCTGTCAGCACGTGCATTCGAATGGCTCTCGCTGTGCTGGGTTCAGGCTATAAGGTCCCTGGGACAGACTGTGGCTCCCTCTGCATTCGTACAACACAATCAGCGTACAGTCAGTGCTTAACAACACAAACATCATTTCACCAAGCTCTAAGACACGTGGAGGTGGATGCTGATGGGGTTTATATTATGCCATCTACTGACTAGTTTTAGCACAATGGCTTTAGATGTCCTATGCAAATCCTACCTTTCACTGGGGCAATGAGTGAAAGGGCTGAAGATATTTTAAGTGACATTAAAGCCTATTTTTAGTCACATCTCCTTTCCTTCCAGAGTCCACTGGAGGATGCTGAGTGCTTCTAAATACTCTGCCTGACCTGATGTGTCACATCAGAATTAAAACTTTAAGAATCCCTGAGAATTCTGATTTAATCTAGGAAACCACTCCCAGCACGCAGAGTGTGAGAAAGAATTGCTCCACTTCTTACAGATATGCCAGCATTGCTTCACCGTGGGAAACAGTTTCAGGCATTTTGGTTTTTAATGGCACTCTGGGCATAGATGCATGGAACATGCTCTTTATTTCCCCTCCTCTGTACAGTGCAAATTGACAGTTATATCATAGAAATAATAATAAAAAAAATTATCAGCATTCACTCATTATAGCTCTTCCAGTTCATCCACATCATAGTTTTTTCTTCGCAAAGTGAGGAACAATGCCAGTGTCATCCTGAGGCAGATGGCTGCCTTCTTCCTTCATTTTCAGACTCTCTTCTGCAAGCTGGGATAGATACTTCTGCAATCACATCAAAAAAACAAAGCATTGTTACCAAACCTGAAAATATTCAACATGGGATGCTTTATGCCTTTTCAGAGCTCTCACACTCTCCCAGCATCTCAAAAGGGAAGGAAACACATAGAAGCCCCATTTTTGTGAAAATTCAAGCCAGGAAATATAGTTGTGTCAGGCAAACTACCTTAATACAGGAGTTCAGTGATTTCCTCTGTGCCCTAAGGGGAACTGGTGACAGAACCAGGAGGATTGTGACTCCCATCAGTCTGGGTAACTAGACCTCATCTTTTCTCCTTGAAAACTCTTTACTCCCATGTGCTATAGGGCAGGAACTAACTCCATTGAGTCAACTGAATTACACTGGTGTAAGACTGGTGTGTCAGAAAATAGACGCAGTTTCTGAGTCACAATTTAAAGCATATATGTTACATTTTCAGCATGTCCAGTTCAGAGATGTACCTTGTGGACAAGAACATTTGTTTTTAAGGGAACAATCAAACTTGGTAGTAATTAACACAATTTAGCAGTCTGGCTAGAGTATTGACATTATAGTGTTTCTCTAAGATAAAGTCTTTCAGTGCTTCAAGTAGTCAGTGTGATTTAAAAAAAATATACACGGCCAGTGAGGTTTTCAGCCTTCTGGCAGTGCTTTTAGTTGGCAGAGCTGCACACGAAGTGGACAATGAACTGCTGTGCATCTGAAAATGGTGCTCAAAGTATTTATTCAAGGTCAACAGACCTCGAAATGGATGAAAAGAAGCTTCTTCAGCAGCAGCTCATCTAGAGAGATGCATGGGAAATTCCCACATAATAATGTAGAGATGTTCTTATTAATGACTTAAACCACATGCAAGAATAGCTGACCTACACATTATTAGGACCATAAGACTCTTTGCTAGCTGATTATTCATTCTGATTTGTTTTGAAAAGAGCATCTTACATCACTGCAAAATTTTATCTACTTGCAGGATTCCACCAGAGTACAGTTTACTCTTTGGCATCCATAGGGAGAGGTGAAATGAGAAATGGATGGAAAAAAACTAAAAGGGCTGTGTTGTCTCAAACTGCCAGGTTGTCTCACATAAATACAAGTTTTGGATGTAAGAGGTCCGTCTGAAGGGGACTCAGTAATGGTAATGAACGGGCATACCTGTGACAAAATGACGACTGCACCCTTGTTACTCTGGGTATAGAGATTTGGCTGTGGAAATTACACAACTCTCAGTCTTGATCTCTGGGTACAAAATTCCATGTGGCAGAAAGCCAGAGTAAATGTTACAGTAGTATACAGAGATATAGGGTCCATAAAGACTGGGAGAAGCGATCCATACACCATGAAGTATAATAAATCACTAACGCTTGTCATTGGATCAGCTAACCCGTGCATTTTTGTTTTTTAATGATTACCCACCAAAATAAGACTGAGGTTTACCCACCACCTTTAGCTGCCGTTGTCAGCTATCATGAGTACCACAAACACCAGTTTTAAAGTTCACAGACCAGGCATTCAGATTAATTTATAGCAAAATGTCAGTTAAGGAAAAAACATTTTCTCATTTAAATACAAGTTTTGATGAATACTGCATAAAGCCACTGGAAAACAGGACAAAATGCTGCACTGAGTTGCCAAGGTAGCTTACACCAGATGAATCCGACAGTTTTTTGTGGTAGCAGTGGGAGGGATGGCAAAATGATGGATTTTTTGGACATGGAAAATGCAGTGGATCTGTAAATATAAATACCACCTGGGAAAATCATTTATTAAGCTGAACAGAATGGAAAATTACACAAAGTCTGCAAGGCTGAAAAGAAACAATTGATTTTTTTCCAGTGATTGCTGTTCTTCAAGGGGCACCATACTCAGATGAAGCTGACTATTTTACTTCAAGACAAAATTGTTGTCATCTAAGCAAGGCTTTTGGAAGAAAACTGATGAACAAGCTGTTTAGTTTTGCATGCAAATCCAAACACTGAACATATATTTTGGATGTGACTCCAAGGAGATCACATGAAAGATGACAAGTAGCAAATCAACTATAATGAGAGCATTTGTCATTGTTATTGGACAATGGTATTTGTCATGTAAGCAAGACAACAGAAAATCTGCAGCAGCAGTCCCATAGCTTCCCATACGGTAAACGTTAGAGTCCATAGTTCTTATGTTGGTGGATACGCTCATTAAATTGCATCATCATAAGAGAAGTCTGCCATTTCTTGCAGAGTGCATAAATAAGCATTACTGCAACTAAAAGGGTTCTAATAATACAGAACAAGTATTTAAAATTTGCTGAGTCCCCACTTCAGTGGGCAAAAGTTGGATGAGACATTTACTTCCTCCATTTAGTAAGATAAGAGGTACAGCTCGACAGAACATTCTGTTTTCATTACCATATTGGACAGATTTAATTTTAACAGCTTTTGTGGTCTTTGTTCTTTTATCTCAAGTCAGTGTTAGATATCTACTACAGTGCTCATGGGAAATGTCTTAATGGGGAGACAAAGAGGGTTTTTTTCACTGACTCAGTTTTTCTATGGAAAACTGAGGACCTTTTTTCTATGATTTTAACAAAATAACTTAGAAAATGAAAAATCCTTCTTCTTCCCATGGACCAGTTGCCAGGGGCAGGACTTGCAATCTCTGCTTTAAGCAAGAGTTTCTTTGGGACAGACTTGCGTGGGATACACAGCCTGCACTGAGTGGTGCCACCTTTGGTGAATCCCTCTGGATTTTTTTTTGTATGAAGCAAAAAAAGGCATGCAAACTGGGCACCTGTTTTTCAAGCTTACACTTGGAGGATCCATTATTAGCAAACATTGCAGCTCTGCAGGCACAGCCTTTGAAGGCCAGAGGCCCTGGTATGATTACAGCTATGTAACTTAGGAAAGTCAAGAAGAAAATTCTCCCAGAGAAATTATTTGACTCTGAATGTCACTAGAAAAACCAATGCCTGCTAGCCAGTTAAGGAGAGAGAGCTATTACTTGAAGAGAAGCAGAGCTCCAGCATTTTCTATGGGCAGAGGGAAGGAACAGAGAAAGAAGGAGCAGCCTTGCTCTTTCACACCTTTTGCAAAGGGTAGGCAAACGCCAAGAACTGCTGAGAAAAGTGTCTTCTGCAGTGTAGACACCCTGCACACAGGCAGGGACTCCAGATGAGAGGTAAGGCCACCTCCTCTGAGGATTCCTGAGCACAGGGCAGTTAATGCTTATGCTGTCATGACCGTTACTATCAACTGCATCTGAGAAGTAATAAAGGTAGGGTCTTTTGATTGAACTGCAAGCACCCAGGGTCTCTGTGTGCTCTTATTAAGTGTTGATATGCTTATAGTATATGCTTGTGGAAACCATACAAGTAATTACATGCTTCTGCATATCCTTATAGAAATTATTCAATAGTGGTGTTTTGCGTGGCTGAACTGCCGTGCTGTTCTGTAGCACAGGGAGGTGATTTCAGCGGGTCACAGGAAATACCTCGGAGAGCCTGTGCGTCACAAAGTACTGCGTGCTGAAACACGCTGCAGAAGTTCACGCTAGTGCAAAAATAAGTCTGGCAACATTATCAAGCAAGTGGCATGTTTAATGGTCCTGAAATTAAGAAATAAGAAAGGCTCCTGCTGGGCTGACTCCAGTGATACAAATGTCTGGGACCCTCAAGATCAGGGTTGCAAGCTGTGCTAGTGACAAGGACAAAACAGAGATGAGAAAATAAAATTATCACCTGGCCCCATTTTATTTATGATCCAGAAGTTGATTCCAAGGATCTAGCAGTGAGAAATTAGTGTGCTAACATTTGGAACTACTGAAATGTTTTGCTTATCTAAATTTCACTTTGAATTCTGTCCACAACATAAAACCTATTCTTTATAGCATCATCTATCTTACGCATAGTCCCCCCCATAAACTAGTTGTTAGCTAGCTTCACGTTTGTTTTTACCTGAAGATTTTTGTAGTGAACAGTACTTCTGCAGTGACTTGTCTTTGCTGTCTCTTCATTTGTGTAGAAGAGTCCACAGAGCTTACAGTAAAACCCGGTTCTAGGCACCACAAATTCCACACCTATTGAGAAATTCTGAATTACATTAAAATGTCAGTTGAAACCGTTCCCCTCCACAGTAAACTTGTTTTCAAAGAAAAAAGGTGCTGCAGATATAAAGGCTGAATCCTAGATCCACTTCTCTGATTTCCCTGATTTTGCAATACTGAGCTGCAGTTTAAAATCCTATGCATTGCAAATACACCTTCCACTTCTCTCTTAGATATTATACATATTTAAAAATGTACCTTCCCGTGCATAATATTGACTGGAACCTTCACTGTGTAACCTCAAGGGCTAGAATAGCAATAGTACTTATTAGCAGTAAATTCATGCTGAAGTTGCACAGATTGCTCTTTAGGATGTACTTCTTCCAGGTGTTTTACTCATGATCAGTGTTTACACAATAAAACCAATGCTTCTGCTTGTACTGAAAGTATAATCCATACTTTTATGATAAATACTCTTAAATCACTAAGTATTTTTCATATATATTTCATATATAGTCCAAGGGAACTTCTTTCATCTCATCAGCAACATTAACAGCTATCTTTTGCCATTCATCTGGAGTGAAATTAGCAATGATCTATAATCAAAAGCCTGTTTCTTTCAACAGCTACCCCTCTGTCGTATACCCTGTTCCTTCACTCTCCTCACATCTGTTCTGAAAAATAAATATAGCAAGTAGCCTTAAAGTGACATCTTGTTGTAAGCTCTAGGTATTGCAGTGGGCGGCATCACAGGCTGAGGGCAGCCTGGGCGTCCGAACGTACCCAGGGGAATGCTGAGTTCGGTGAAGACATCCTCTTGTTCCCAGCCTGGTGGAGAGTGCCTTCTTTTAGCCTCTACCTCTGGGTATTCCAGAGATCTCATTTCCAGGTACCTAGAATTTGCTTAACAAATGAATAAATGTATTGAATGAAAACAGTTTATTAGTTTAAAGAGACATTTGTAATCTTCTTGGGAACGCTTTCTGGGTGGATCCATAAATGAAGTAAAATCTGGAAAAAATGCTTTTCCATTCAAATCAGAGGTTTACTCAATGCAACTCCAAAAGCTATACTACACTGTGGAGTCAACTCTAGTTCTCCCAGTAGACCATTTTTCTGTTTCCTATTTCATGTTCATTATGGTTTTTGGTGGGGTTTTTTTTTCATATTTTAATCTCTAAATAGATCTATAACATTATACATGCCTCCGGCACAAGCATGGTCCAACTGCAGCTCTGTAACCACGTATGGCATTGCACGACCAATGATGGAGCTGGGCTAACACAGGGGCTGCTGAGGAAGGGGCGGGGGGGGTGGTGGTGGCAGCAGGACCTGCTGAGAGCAAATCCCCAAACTGCCTAAGGAGCTGTATGGGCAGAGCAAACCTTCCTCTCTTGCACCCCTCCAGCACCACTGTCATCTTCTCCTTGGAGCCACTCTTCTCCCATCCTCAGCTCTCCAAGGGATAGTTTCTGCTTTATGGCTGTTGGCCACTTGAAGATTTTGGTTCCTGGCCGGTAGGGATGGGATGATTGGTCCCTGCTGACCGACATTAATGGACACAGCCAGGAGATTCAGGGTGTGGAAAACAGTGGATTGATTTGCTGAGGCAGATAAAGCCAGTCAAAAGAACAGATGCTCACCCTTCCAAACATATGAATTGCTTTTATTTAAAAAAAAGATAATATGTTATCACAGAGCACCTGAATTACAGACAAACTGGTCTGATTCCTATTCTCCAGTTCTTACATCAAACAAATAGTTCTCTTACCCTGACAAAATTTCTATTGTATTGCAAATTTCACCTAGATAAGGGATATATTTTCTCATAAATTTGTTTTTGCCCAAACCAAACCCTTCCTGACTTTCAAGTCTGTAGAGTTCAAAGATCCGCAATTTCTAGCTATGAGAAAGAATTTTTCTTCATTGTTTTAAATATGTCTATTACATGACTTAAAATGAGATAATACAAAATCCTGACTGGTTGACTTTCAGGTTAACTTTAAGCCCATCCCAGGTTTCCAAATCTGCAGCAGAGATCCTGGAAAACCTGCAAGCTTCAGTTACCTCTTCTTAAGACACAGGGCCTTTGTGGCAACTTATGTCCCCCTTAAGTTGCTTTCTGGGCTTTTGAGCTGGCAGCTGCATTTGCAGAGAGCCTAGAGCCTTGCGCTGCAGATTCCAGATACCAAGTCCATGGCGGAAACCTGGGAAGCACAAGCTCCTCCGGAGCTTCCAGGCTCCCTGCTGGCAAGTTGGAAGCTGAGACGCTGAAAACACCGAAGTAACTATGCTCCTGGGATACCCAACTCTTTCGTCAGCTGGCTGCCCATGAAGTGGGCAGCCCAGGGGAGCCAAGCTTGCTGTTCCCCATCCCAGGGAGTTTGCACGGCAGTGTTATCTCCAAATATGCAAAGCCTGGCAAGGTGTCTTCAGGCCAAACAGGTAAGTACTGAAAAATGAGCGAGTTTCAAATCTGTCCTAGAGGAAGAACTTAGTTCAAAATCAGACATTCACTTTAAATGTTCCAGCATTTCCTGGTGGATAATTGCACCCTCAAAAATCTTCCACCAGCTTCTGCTCACAAACCTTTCTCCATCACACAGACTCCAATAGCAACAAAAAGAACATTCCTGGCCAACATGCTCTATGTTGTTTTCCACTTTCCCTCATTAAACACAGCCCATTCGCTCAAGTTTCATTAGAAAGTGTGACAAGGAACTGAACTCGCTTTCAGACACTCAAGATCTTTTTCTTCCCTGACAGCTAAAATATTAATAGGCAGCTATGATTACATTTATTGGCATTATCTCACAGCATGTCCTATCAGATATATTAAAGGCAGCATGCGGTAGATAACAGGAGATGATAATGCAAGTCCTGACAAAAGGCACGTATTTGCGTGAACAGGAACTGAGAAGTAACAATCTACAGATGATTTCCATGTTACTAACGCTTCAGTACAGTATGTAAGAATACCCACCTTGTCCAGGAGCCAGCCAGACATTACAGATACTTTTCTGTTGACCTTCAGAAACTGTCACTCATTTCATTGACAATTCAAAATAGTTAGCAGAGCACTGAAAGACTTCAGCTAAACTCATGTGAACCTTGACATGACAATTATAGCAGCTTATGCCTTTCAGAAAGCTTGCAAGCTGCTTATCATATTTCCTTTACACTATTCAGCTAAGAGCCTCTAATGGTTTACCTTGGCGAAAGGCACTGGGGTTCTTTTACTGAGCTGCTCCAAGGACAAGTCTTGATACTATTAGCAACATTTATTCTTGTTAGCAATAAATTTCAGTCTACTGTCAGAGAAAACATGCAAGACTCTCAGTGGGCTGGAAAGAAGAAAAAAAACAGTAGTTACCCTTGGCCTCTGGACACTCTTGGCTTCCACGTCGTGTTTCTTCACTAGCATTTTTAACAAGCATTTCCATAACTTCTCTGCTCTCAGCTCCTTGTGATCCCATCTGTTTGTAATCATCTATAAATGTATCAGGGAGCTGGAGAGTCTCTTCTTTCAGATGAACAGAAGGTATATGGTGATCTTCAGGCTCTAAGCAAGTGTCAGAGCTCTTATCAATTTTTCCTTCCTTCTGCTGGGGATCAGACTCCTTAGATGATTGGTCTTCTTGCAATTCCTCTGGTTTCTGCTCAGGGTCCAGATTTAGGCTTGATGCTTCAGTTACAGCATCATCATTATCATCATCCTCATCATCATCCTGACAGCCACTAGCAGCTACACTGACCTTTGCTGATCTGAAGTTTGTTTCTAAAGCTTTATGGGCAAATTTGTCTTCACTCCTAGGTAAGTGGCTGTGATCGTTTTTCAGTTCTAACATGGTTGACATACAGGGACACATTTCTGAAGCAGTTTTATTTTTTTTATCAACTGGTACTATTTCTTCAAGCTCAGTTATATCTGGCTCCATAATTAAATCATCTTCTCCCACTTCATCTACTGTCACTAATTCCTCCATGTTAGCAGGATACCAGGTCTCACCTTCTATCTCACTTCCACTCTCCCACTCTCGGTCCTGTCACAAAAATGTAAAACATTTGAGAGATTAGCAATTATAGATCACCAGTGTTAAAAAGTGGGCTTTGAACATCAGTGACCAGGAAGAACTTTGATCTGGCCATGCCTAACCCCTCTTGTATTTTAGTTTCAAAGAACAATATGCTTTGGTATTGTGATTTTAAACCTTATGCACAAGGACAAGCAATCTCTTTTTAATTATAACATAAACTTCACTTTGTGGAGATCCTGTAACTGCCTTGGGGATTACAGTCTCTCCAGTCTCCTGCTCCTTACTTTTCTGTAAGAACAAGGCACAACCTCTTATACTTTGTTACACAACTGACTCTACTATGTGATCCCCAAGGAAACGAACATCTGCCCTTCCTCAACCTGCATCCCAGTGTGACAGGAAATAGGCAGCACAATGAGAATACACTGACCACCAGTCTAGCCACTGTGGCTTTCCACCTTAGACCTAGTCTAAGGTCCTTTAAATTCCTATGGTGACTGAGAAAACCTGGCTACCTTTTGTAGTCATTTCCTTCCACCAGCAAAAGCCCTTTGCCAGAGACTGTGTTGGCAGACATTGGCCTAGACCTTAAGAAAAATCAGTTTTACAGTTATACTCCAAGGTACATAATCTGAAATACCTCATACGTGCAGGTATAGACTTACAGGGCTCAGACACTAATATTGGACTTCAGAAGTATTAGAATCATAAGATATGTTACTTTTAAGACACACTTGCAGCTTAGATTTCATCTCTCAGACTGATTATGTACACATAATCTATTAATAATCTGTATTCTTCTCCTGTTTGGCCATTCCCACACTTCCCCTCCTAGAATCCTAAAACAGCATGAAAACTCTGGGAGTTGACACTGTTCTTGCCAGGAGATCAGTTTTCTACAGCAACAGATATCAATAGCTTCCATATCTGACCATCAACCCATGACCCTACAGATATGAAGCTGGAGAAATTCCAAGGACATTGCTGTTCCCGACTGCGATGCTGCAGTAGGGGTGCTGTAAAGACATTATTTAATTAAAACCAGAAACAATCAGAAGAGGCTACTATCCATAGTCCATCTAAGGCCAATGTTCTGAAAAGTTTTCATCATTAGTCCCCTCGTTCTCCACCAACTGACCACATCTGCTATTTTTGGGCACGGTTCACAAAGTTACGCAGTTCACTTGGGCATATGTTCCTTACAGTTGCCAGTGCCAAGGGCTACGCATGTGAAGCAATGTACATGGGCAAAGAGCAACTAAAAAAAGAGTTCTGGAGACTTCAGGAAAAGCTATCCTTTAAAGCAGAGGTCAAGATAAGGCAAGTTAATTTAGGCTACTCCCTTCTACAACCCCTTTACATATCTTTCTGTGGGGGTTTAATATTTCAGCTGGGAAAATGTGCTACCAAACTTGAGTTTTCACTCATTTTGTTGTGGAAGCTGTACCAACAACGTGTCACCAACCTTGTCTTTTCTGGTGTTTTCCAGAATCTCTCCAGATTCTTTTCCTTGTTTATTAGCTGAGGGTGAGCTCTTCTCTGGAACTTGCTCCTCTTTTCCAAGCTAAAATAAATACAACATATACATGTATAGCAACACACAGTGGTGCTCTATTATGTTTCTATTCTGGGTTTAGGGAAACAAAGTCACCACAAGGTCACATTCTTTATTTCTAAAGTTTATGCAAGTCAACTGGGCTGTGGGAAAAGACCCAAGAATTGGATACTATTAGCAAAGCCACACAAATAAGAATTAAGAAAAAGAAATTTAAACAAAATTAGAGACATGTAATTTACATCATAGAATTGGCTAGAAGACAGGTGGGGGAGAATGCGAATTCGTTAAAATTTCCAGCCTCCACTCCTCTGTTCTCTACCCACATCTGTTATGTTGGCTCAAACATGGTAAGGAGAGCAGCAGTGTTAAAACTGCAAAAGACCTCAACTGTTTTGTTTATTGCTGTAGGCTCAGTTGAGAATGCAACTGCTTGCATAGTTCATACTTTGGGAGAACAAAACCGTAGTACTAGCTGGCATTTGGTAAAAGAGTGAAGTGAAAGTGTGAGTTCAAAATATTCAAACTTATTTCTTCCTTTTTAAATAAATTATTAGCAGTAGTCCCTGGAGAGGTATGCCTTTAATGAAGCAACTTTAAAATAATTTGAAAAACATGCAGAGGCATGTGCAACACCGGTGATTTAGGATGCTGTCTGATATTTCTCTCTGACATCTCCTCCCAAGGAACCATCCATCACAGTGAAATATCAGCCAAAGAAGAAAGATGACAAAAGGTGGTACGGACACACATATCTATGGCATGAGGTAGCGCTGCTACAGAGACTTGCTGAGTTACAAGATCTAGAGATTTCCACCAACTTTGCTCCCACGTGAGAGTAACGAACGCAAGGTCAACTAAAAACAACCAAAGATGGCCCTGGCAGCAAAGTCACAAGCTAGAGATGGACCCCTGGTCAGCAAAGCAGCTCTGCAGTCTCCTGTGCCAGCATCCCCAGGGGTGCACGGTGGCAGTGTATCACTGGGGGAGATTCAGGGAGGCAAGGTGGCCAAGAACCAATAACAAGGTCCCCATAGTGTAGGAATATGAGCGTGGGTTGTACTGGGACTGAGCGAATGAGGCGTCTTCATCTGTTCCCTCTCTGCTTTTTCCCAGTAGAGAATCAAAACTCACAAATGCTGCCACTTTACCAACTGGGAATATTTCTCCAGATCCCACAATTTTACAGGTCAGCTGATGCAGTGGCTGTGTCATGGGAAGAGATTCCTGTTAGCACATTGAAGGGAATGGTGTGAATTATCCCTGCCACAGCTGAGGGTAGGGACATACGATTAATAGAAACCAATTGCTCTGCTGAGGTGACCAAAAAGAAAATGTTCCTCATTAAAAGTTCATTGCCCATTTTAGCAGTATACAAATCAGTTCCCTGTACTTTCCTACAAATATTGTGCATCCTTGTAAAATACTACTTATTTTCCAAATAATCCACATCAGACAGGGAGGATGTGATGGATGCAGAGAGAGCAGCTGTGGAGTATCCTGCACAGACTTAGAAAAGAGAGCAGTTGGGCACTTGCCCCTGCATACATAACCTGCATGCAAACAGCAGATTGTCACCTGGTTTTGTTGCGAGTTGTCTGTCCCCTTCCCCTCACTGGTTACCCAGAGGTTTTGTGCTTGACACAGAAAGACAATGTCCATGTACCCAACACCTCAACAGTGTAATGGATCTGCATGATCTAGGCAAAGACATGGATAAGATGACCTCCCAAGATCTCTTCTAGGACTGCATTCCCTGATTTTATCATGGCAAAACATTGCATGTCACCAGCACCACACCTACAACAATTATATTTCAGAAAATATATTACTTCAGCATTTACCACGTTTTTACATACAGTTTGAGATCTCTATTTACCTCATTCTCAGAAGGTTTGGTTTCCTTCACATCACTGCCTTCAGCAGCATCAGCATCTTCCTCTTGGTCTTTTTCAGCTTTCTTCACCTTATTCTTATCACTTTGTTTTTGCCTGGAGCTCTCAGATGCTTTGCTATGCTTCTGTTCAGCCGCCTCCTCCCTGGTGGCGTCCTCGCTGTAAGAATGCCTGCGTTCCCTTAACTTTGCCTCTTCCTTTCTCTTAGATCTCCCAGGTAAATCCTGCAGCTGCCTTTGAAACTTGTCAGATTTTGACTTAGAGGTTTTCCGGTAATAGTCATCTTCCCTGCTCTTGTAGCCAGATAAAGGGTGAAGGGAGCCAGGGGAACCACTCCTTAAATATTTTTCTCTGTGCCCTCTGCCTCCTTCAATCCGTTCATCCAAATCAAACTTGTCCAGCTGTCGGGAATAATGTTTCCTCTCGTGTACCCACATGTCAGTCCTGTCCCTTTTCTCGTCCCCGTTCTCTCGCCATTCTCTGCTGTCTCTTTCCTCTTCCCGTCGAGAATACGGGGACTGATCCCATGACTCTCTCCCATTTCCCCAGTCGGTCCTGCCGGTCCCCATCGGGCTGTGGGGTGAACTGCAGGAAGTAAAGCTGGGAGTGTGGGATCGGGGCGACAGGGAGCGGCTTATGGGGCTGCGAGAGCGGGGCCTCTCCGTGCCATACCTGCTGCAGAGGGAAAAGGCAGCTGTAACTGGCTGACCCACTGTGGTCTACCAAGTTCTTGTACACTGGAAACACATGGGGACTGTCCTGGTGCCTGCGAACCTGAGACCCCAGGCCTTTCACAGACATGCACTGCACAGCTGCAAACACAGTGAACAGGAGAAAAGGCAGTGTCATACCCACAGAGCTTAACTAAATCCCCACAGATATGTCAAGAATATATTCATTCATTCTTACAAGTGTCTCACAGGGGTTTAGCATTAAAAGCTTATAATAGGTTAATACCTTTACAATGACCCTAATGTCTGTACCCTTAATACTCACACATCTAGGGCACCTCTGAGACAAAAGTGACAAAGGTCATCTGCTTAACAGAGATGTTTTAGGACTGTGATTCCTCTCCATTTTTCCTGGAAGGTCCAGAAGTCAAGCAGATCAGAAATATACCCAAATACATTTTAACCCGAACTGGCTCCTTCCTACTAGGTCTCGCAGCACCCCCAGCCTTTATGCTTTTCACTCAAGGGGAGGAGAGGGAAACAGCTTCATTTGTGTGTTCTTCACATGCTAGGGGTAGTTTCTGAGCCATTGTCATCAGTAGGAAAGAGTTCTATTTTCATAACATGCACCGTTTCAATCTGATCTCATTGTATAGGCCCTGTACTTACTATTGTACCCACTTGGATTTTTACAGTGATTGGAAGTGAAATCCAAATTAAGAAAGCAAATGAGATAAGAGTGGGAAGCACACAGATAAAGCTTTTTCTACCTGCAGGTTTACAGACTTATCCAGGTCCCAATTCCAAACTATGGAGAAACTTTACCTGTCCACTTCACGCAGCAGGTCCCTCTCCCTCTGCGAGTGGATGTCCTGGATGATAGCAGCCACGTTCTTACCTGGTTTCTAAATAAGACAAAGGCATTATTTAGCATGCTGCACTACTCTTCAAGCTAATATAGGTGATTTGTCCTTCAAGAAACAGCACCCATGCATCATTCCATTACATTACTACTGAGAAATATTTGGTTTCAGTGTTGTGGTTACAGTCTTTTCTGCAGCTGGTATCTCAATAACACGATCAAAGCAGTAAAATGATACAAATGGAAAATTTGCTCCATTACGTTGTAGCACTGTCTCCTCATACTTGGCTGCTGTAACAGGCTTTGAAAACTAGCTTGTCCTTTCCTGTTACACATTCACTACAGAGTATTTTCTAGGAATTGGATGTAAGAGGAAACAAACCAGACAATTTTTCTAATATCTGAATTAAATATGCATGGCAGCCTCTCTCTGGCCCTCTAGGAATGAACTGCCTTCTCTTCATCTCAGAGTTTAGCTCATTCTGGAGTATAGCTCTAAAAGACTACGTTTAGACACAAGAGTTTCAGAAAAGCTAAGTGCAAGAAAGATGCGTACAGGAAGTGTCAATTACTTGAGATTCAAGATCATTTACAAAAGAAGCACTACTCCAGGCTGGAGTGCATGCAATTCGTCAAACACTTGGAGCATGCACAGCTGAGCAACATAATCATGCAGGAACTCAGAGCAGTTTGTAGTGGTAAATAGCTCATGCACATGCCCCCTTCCATGTTGCACTTTTGATTATTTGTTTGCTTTTAACAAAGAGAAAGGGCTTTTGCTCGTGCAGAGAAAAATAATTCCATGACCTGAAAAACTACCATAGGAAATGCTGAAAATCTTCCTGAAATCTAGGCAAACTCCCACACTCTCCTGGGTAATTCCTGTTCCACCTCTGTGTTAAGATGCACAGTCTCCACCACCTTACATCTGAACACCTCACCGTACCACACTAAGAAAGACTGCTCCGGTTTATGGACTTTTGGCAACCCCTTATAAGTCTCCTTAAACTATTATACACGTACAGGAGAGAAAGAGACCTTTCCGAAGGTCAGAGCAAACCATCTGAGTTACTTGTTCTTCCTCAAGGCTCATAAAAGGTCCCTTAACCTCTTAACTTGGAACATTACAGAGTTATTTTATAAAATAGCTTTGTGCTGTGTTCAGCTTTTCAGCTCTGCATTGCCAGTTCCAGTCCAAGTCTCCATGAAAAAAAAATACTCTCTTAGCATTACACATGGCAGTACATAAGCTTCCATAAATATGCTCTCAAGAGCACTGATTTTTGGAATCACATCAAAAGTGTCACACACTCAACAGAAAGTCCAAATGCTATTGCTCTGTTCTGACTCTGTGTAAAAAAACCCAAACAATCTAGCTTTTTAATTTAGTTCATTCACAAGAAAGAAAGAAAGAAAAAAAGAAATCAGTATGATGTTTAGCCCTGCCATCACTGCTTGGTATAGAGATTGTACTATGGCTCAAGCATGCAAGCAGTGAAAAACATTGCTTCAGGCTTAATGCCTGACTAAAAGGATAGGACCATCTTGTTTTTGCTGACATGTTGTATTTTATACATGGTTGTGTTTAACCACTTTGTTAGACCAAGCAATGTGGGGAGCCCACTCAGAAGGAAGCTCAGAAAGGATTTTTGAGATAATGGTATGAGAGGAGTAGAGAAAATAGGATCTCTTCCAAGAGTAAAGGTTTAGAACAAGAGCAAGCAGCTCTTAACATACATTCATTAATTTATCCTTCCTAATTTCTTTTTCCTTAATATTAAAGCATTAATTAGAAACCAGTAATCAGCAAAGATTTTTAGATGTATTCTCCAGGACATGCCATGGAAACTCAGGAAATTTGATCAGGAATGACTATCTTACCTTCAGCTGCAATTCCTTGTATCTTTTAGACATCCTAATAAGTAACTTATCATCATTTATCATAGCAGGTTTTTCTTTGTAGTACTGCACCATGGCTTGTGCTGCTTCGCTGTAAGCCATTTCCAGAAAGGCCTAGCACAAATGGGGAGAGCTTTAAAATCTACTACATAATTAAAAATACAAAGTATAAGAGAGAAAAGGCAGCACAATAATTTTTGTTTGGATTCTTCCCATGCAAAATGTTTTGATAGTACAGACCTTGGTAGCTTTCCAGCCCTGGAGCTGAAATAGTAACATTCAGACTCCTTTTAACTGCAAATAACAGTTTCAACCCAGCTATTAAAGCCGATATGCAACTTTAGAAGCCAGTTTAGTTAAAAACTGAATGACTGGAATCTAATCTTTCTCGATATATGAAAACATCACCTTTCCCTTGCTTCCTCACTGGTGCTTCTACACCATGGTCAGCTGCTGACAGGATGCAGAACTGCAATACTGCACCATGCACTGCTCCCAAGATTGTCAGCTGTGTCTGGCAGAATTGCAAGGGATCCAGATAAAATCAGAACATCAGAGCATGAGCAGCCAGAACAAATCCAAAAAAGGAGTTTTAAAAACCTGAACGATGTTAACTAGCACTTTTATTTACATGAAAATTGCATTTGATGTGAGTGCAGTTTACCTGGTCAAGGAATATACTCACAGCTGTGTAACGACTGCATTTTAAAACATTACAAATCTCAAACATTGCCCAGTGGTGTGGATTCTACATCCATCTGTCCTGTCTGCTGCAGGGATGTGACAGAAGATTTTTCTAGTCTCCCCAGCCTACCACCACTGGTAGACTTAAGCTACCTTGAAGAAGAGCTCTACTGCAATGCGGCACACATGAAAAGGGAGTGAGGTGTCAGTGTCCCCTGCAAGGGCATCGCCTTCCTTGAGCATGTGTGTGCCAGATCCCCCAGCGCAGCCATGGCCTTGGGGCTCTGCCACCAGCCTGTAACTGTAATTACACCATTGCCGGGACCTGTCCCTGCTGTAACAACAGTTCAACGAACAGTGTAGGACAGCCAAACCAGAGTAGAGTGCAAGTCATCTGTCAATGCTCAGTTCAGTTCTATGAGTATGGGTAAGAAAGCAATAAAAACCTCCCAACAGAACCAGAGAAGTCTGAAAGTAACCCTAACAAACGGCTGGGAGAAGGCGACCAAGTTATTAACTTTTTAAAAAATTATTATTAAAGTACAGTTTTATAACCCTTCATTGAGATTTCTGAGGTTTTTTTAACAAGAACTATGAGGCAGTGGTCATGTTTATGCCATCATCTTATTTTGCAAACACCAATTTTATTCTTTTGTACTTTAAAAGCAGGCTTCATATATTTAAGTTTCTATTATTAAAAAAAGAGATTTCCCCCAAAGACTCTGTCTTTATGTCAGTATGTCTTTACGTCAATAGATGTCAATACCGGTGACCCCAAATGCACAGTACCTGATTAGTGGATTTCATGAGGATATAGTTGGTGACCTTCCCAAACGGGAGGCCCAGGTTAATGACATCATTCTCTGTGCAGCTTCCTTCGGGGAGGTTGCAGATGTGAACAACTCGACCAAGCGTGGATTTCCTCTGGGGAAACTGGGGAAAAAAAACAGCTCAAAACGATGTTTTTATCTTAGATATTCCAGCCACTAGATAAGATCTTATATTTCTGCAAAAAATGAAACATTCTTTTCTGTGTACCTGTTATTAAGGACAAACATCCTTCTTTAAAACCTTGTATTTTAACATCCTGGTTTAGAAATACAAATGGGAAGGGAAACATTTAACTGCGGTGCAGCTTGCAATGGAGTTTCCATCCCTGGCCATTACAAAGTCCAGAAAGGATTTCTAGAAGAGATGCTCTCGTTCAAGCAGGTTTAATGACATTGCTGCAAAAGCTAACCTCAAACCCTATGGACTCCAGAGCTTCACATCCCTGGCATGTCACAGCAGAGGAGATGGCTGGGCTGCTATGGGCCCAGGCCACTGGACTGCACCCAGCACCAGTGAGAGTTTGGAGGCCCCTCAATGTTTGGAGATGGAGGGTGCCTCTGCCATGGGGAGGTCTCAGCCCCTCCTGACGAGCTCCCTGTGGGGTTGGTACCCATCTGGTTTGGCAGCACAACACCTACAGCTACCTGCCAAGTCAGACAGCCTTCCCCAGCCCGTCTGCATGTCTGTCCCGCTGGGGGCTCTGTGCCTTCCCTGCACACAAAGGCACCATGCGCTGTTGCTGAGTAAAAAGCCCTTAGTAGATAATTTGCAGGCAATGCACAAAAAATTAGTATTTTCAAGTATTCCATAAACGCCCATTTATGTGGTGCTGGTAGTGCCTGGAAATTGAAACTGATGTTCACTGCAGTTCCTCTGAATTTATGGACATTAGAAATCAGTTTAGGTGACTACAGAGGTGTTAACGATAGCAGGGGCTGAATTTAAATTCTCCTTCTGCCCTGGTGGAACAGACTGGGCCGGGGCTAAAAGCGACCCCATTTAACTTGTGAGAGGACCCCCAGCTGTACCTCAGGTTGGAAAACATACTACTTTCCCCTCCTATTGCAACAACACGCAGTAGGAAGGACGTTTCCCCTGGGGGCATAAGTGACCACTGGCCATGCAGAGAGGCTGAGGTTCCAAACTGGGCTGGCACAGGCACACAGTTGCCAGTGCGGTAATCGCTTCCCAAGGGTGGAAGTCTATTTTGGAGTGCTGGGGCAGTTCCCAAAGGGCCGCCCGTCTCCCTGACGTGGAAAGCAGGCTCTACACTCCTTGTGCAAAAAGGCACCAGGGTACATTCAGAGAAGAACATAATTTACCTCAGCTAGTGACACGCAAAACATCACTTACACAGGATTAAGTCTTCCCAGACTACTTCCCTGTTTACGACCTTTGCTGTTAGGATTTTACTGAAGAAGTAACTCTACCTTCAGTTAAAATTGTGCCATTCAAGGAAAGATGCAAATCATGTAATCTTGTGGGATCAAGTTCACCAGAGCCATCACAAATGTTTGGCTTGTCAGCAAGTTCACAAGTTACAGAGCTAATGTTATCTTATTTACACCTTCATCCCATTACCTCCCCTCCAGGCTTCACCACTTAACCATTTGTGTATTTTTGCTGCAGCAAGACCCTGTATTATACAGCAGTCTGCTATTTAGTATGCATCTTTCAGAGCCTGCCCATATGCATAAGATAAGTCAAAGAAGTGCCAATGTCCAGAATTTAAGATATTTTCTCTAGCAGAAAAATAACAAAGACCTGATCCTGAAAAAGATGAAGCAACTCAACTCCACTTGAATAGAAAAGGAGGTGATGGCTACATGCATCTGGCAAGGCAGCATGTAGCATACAACAGAAGAATATCTACATGCTGAATTCCTGTACAGCAAGCAGAGGAAAAGGAAACTTCTCTGACAGCAAATGCAGTCCCAGTATATGAACACCCCAGGACACCTGGCACCTTCTGTTCGTTTTGTTAGATCTGTTAAGAGATAGTATGTTAAGAGTTTATGGGACTAGAAAGACTGAGCTGTTCCCTACGTAGGCTCCAGAGCCTGTGTTCTGACACACATTCAGCAGTACATTAAATCAAATGCCTGTAAGATGTTACCACCTCCCTACAATTGGCAATGGCTTAAATTAAAATGCTACGCCATAAATCTGCTGTAATTCATGATTAAGAAGTGGTCACATACTCATACCAGAAGTCGATGGGCTGTACCAAGCAATAATCTTGTCAGCTGATTGAAGTTAAATTGGATCCATTCATTAAACAGAGCTGTAAATCACGGCCAGAAAAGGAATATACACTTTCCGTACCCACAGTCAGAAAGTTAGAGGAGCTGTTGTGTGTAATTTTCATTAAGACTCTAAGTTAACTTTCTTTGCAACCAATGTCTACAGGGGTTTACCAATGCAGTTGCACAACGACTACAGAAGTAATTTGATGCACAGCAATGAAATGCACCTCATACCATTTGCCATATTATTTCACCAATCCAATTTGGTTATTTTTAATGACAGCTTTTTTTCCCAATTTTTTTTGTTTCTTGCTTTTCAAATTCTTTATCCCTTTCTTGAGCTTCACATGAATCTTTTCTAAAGATAATAAGAAACTGACAGTCCCATCCCTCCAGTACTAATGGCTCTGCATGCCCGAGTGAAAACTTCTCGCACTGCATTTGCCTTTTGAAGAGGGATAGAGTTATTTGCAGATGGATAGCACAGAGCAAGCTCTTCCAGAAATCCGAACACTTTGTTTATGATTACATGCAGGGTCAAGTGTAATCTCCCACTGCTCAGTTAAATGGCAGCAGCTTAGCTGAAAGTGAATACTACCGCGCAAAGGTGTAATAAATTATAAGCCACCTGGGTTGTGGGGTGAATGACAGCTGGAAAACTAAATCTTAACACCTCTAATATAGCTCCCTGTCCACCCAATGAGCTTCTGAAGAAAAAGAGGATTTACTGCATCCAGGAAAATCAAAGTTTTTGTTTCTTTTCTCTCTCATAGTATTTCAGGTCATTCAGAAGGAGGACTTCTGCAGGCTGCTTAAATGATAAATAGTGACAGATTCTAAGGAGAAATGATACTGGCATTAGCAGTAATTTCATTTGTTGCGAGGTTGACAGACATGATGAAAAGGAACATTCCTCCACGCCTGCTGCTACTCCACCTCTGACCTTGGAGGCAGCCATCATGAGCAGCTCTGCTCTTTGCTCCCCTGCACACACAGTGTCTGTGGCACACAAAAGCTAAAACCCCTTCAAATAACCCCTGGCACAGCAAAACTGCACAGTAGAAAATTGGTTGGATTAAACAAATCTGGGTGACATTTCTATAAGCAATGCCTGAACTGGAGAGGCATGGGGATGCAACTCAGCCTGGCTTTCCAGAGTCTGAGACCACATCGGGATATATACACAAAAGCTAACAAGGTGAAAACATGAACCCCTGGATTACTGCTGCTATTCCATGAACACCCTAACATGAGTCTTTGACGTCTCCGGCTTTCATTGTAGCTTTCCAATATATGTTGAGCTTAAGTTTAACCCTAACAACTTTGTATTTCCATTATGTATATGATTTGCTTTTATTTGCCTTTTTTTCTTTTTCTCCCCCCCCCGCCCCATCTTTCTGTTTTGTCAGTGTAAAAGCACCACTTTTAATGTTATCCTTTTTTTCTGGCATTTTTTGATTATTGGGCTAGGAATTCAAGTGTGCAATTAGAGCAATATAAGTGGGGACTTGTGTTGAATGGGGTCGGGGGGAGCACTAATAAACCAAAACCATGGAAGGCTGTACACCAAAGCAAACTTGCTGAAAGGCCACCAGTGGCAGCAGATGGTATAAATAGTACACTAAAACTAAGAAAAAGCTAGTCTAATATAATGAATTGATCTGGGACCCTCAGGTGAGCAACGGTTAGTGAAGCTGCAGCCACTGTCTTTGCCATTATTGCTACCTGGGAGAGGGACCCCAGCATGGGAGAGGCAGAGAGCAATCGCAAATAAATAACTGGAGAGATGGCAGGCTGTTTGCTGAGATCGATACTCAGAGTCAGTAAAAACTAATCCAAATCTTTGTTCCAAGCTGAAGCTGACCTTCCTGGGTCAAAAAGACTCAGAAAATGGGGGAAAAATGTCAATGAGATACACACAAAACCATCCTCCCCAAATCTCTCTAACAAGCAAACAACATTTAGCACTGGAAAAAAAACTACAATCAAGTTCTGATTTGGCCAAAATCAAAAGCATAAAAGAGCTGCAGGGAAGTTGAAATAACAGACTGAATATTCAGATTATTGTCTAACAGGAAGCCTTCATGGTTTTAATACCAGTAAGTAGAAGTGGCTACTACAAGAATCTCTACACAGAGATCAGTTTGCTTAGGTACTCACTCTTACCCCTGATGGAGGAGAAGAAAATGTAGGACCTGGCTGGCCAAAGGATCTTGCTGACGTAGTGATAAAAGATGAGCCGACATTTGGTGGATAATCTAAATAATGGATTACACACATTTAATGAAAATCTTGACTCATATTAATCCATTAGTGTGCCCAGTAAGCAGTACCACATTTACATAATAATTAATTTCACAGTCTCTACACCAAGTTATACACTGTTTCGTTGACAAGTCATTGTCTGAAAGAAAAATAAATTCATACTTTGAAGGCACTGTATTGGCTTTTAGCCTTTCTGTGCACAACCTCTAAAAAGTTTTCCTTGGAAACTTGTATCACAGTTCATTTAAAATGTCCACTTTTCCCCAGAGATTGACTTCCCTTTCAGTTCAAAAGAAAGTGGTTTTAACTATTGCACATACAACAATTCACCTTCGATACTAGACGGATTGAAAACTGCTGCATTATTTGGCGATAAATGCAATGTTCCATCTGCTGAGCTTAACACACATCGGATACCAGTGCTGGAAAAGAAAGAAAAGAACTTTAGGAGCACGCATAATGTGCCATAAACATTGAAGCATAATTATTAGACAGTAAATTCCCGGTCTAAACGCACTGAAGTAAGGGATGGTCTGCTAGAAATTCAGTTGGGAGAGTGTCTCTAAAATAATACTTACTTATCTGAAAAAGCCATACATTTTTGGATGTGAAGACTTCCCTTAACGTGCTGATCCCAGTCCTACATTGAAACAAAGAGATGATGAGCATAGGAAAAATCCCGAGACAAATTTACAAAAGATTGCTTCTCCACTCAATTTACTTTGTTCTAAAAACAATACTGAGATGCTGAAGATCAAACTGTGTGATGCTGGAGCCAAGCACACCTTCAACCAATGCATTTACTGACCTGTAATTTGTAGCTTAAATTATTGGTTACTTTACAAAAGGAGAGCTTGTCTGTATTAGCTTTTAAATCCAGTATATTTCTATTAATTCAGCTGAGCACCCTCAACTCCTGTGATGTCCATAACGAAGGTGCTGAGCACACAGGGCAGCCAGGACACTGCTTATTCTTTTCAACAGATTTGCAAAATTGGTCAGAGTACACGTAGCTATTTACACTTCTATGATGCAAATGAGGCAGCGTATTAAACACCAACAAACAGATCAACTGAAACTCACCATAATGACATTTTCCCTGCCCTTTTAAAATGTTTAATGAAAAAAAGAAATGCTCAGCATGCCCTAGACGGAGGATACCTCACACCAGTCCTGTAGCTGCAGTAACCACAGCAAACTCTTTTGCAAGTGGCTGCTCAAAGAGTAAAACGAAAACATGAAAGAGTAAATATATTCAAATATCTCAAAACCCCGGGGTGCGTAAGTATCAGGTACTGTTTCATTTGCCGGCCATCTTCCTTGCTATATACGTGCTGTTGTAACATTTTTGTCAGACTATCATCTGTGTGAAAACAGATGCTTTTGCCGTTAGCTGCTGGTCCTGCGATGTGATGGAAAAGGCCATGAGGACTTGTTGAGCTGGGCTCACCAGGGGGCCAGAACAACGCCAGCCAGCACCCACGTACGGCTTGGGGCACAGAGGCTTCACCAGACCCGACCTATATAACACGCCCTAGCACACAGGCTTTCTGGGCAAGCAGGAAGCTTCTTCTCAAGGGTGAGGTTGGATTTGGAGCTCCCTTGGCAGTATGAGCAGAGAAGTGGGAGCGTGGTCTGCACTACACATGCTGAGCAGCTTCTTGCTTCCAGGCGAAAGTCGCTGGGGACTACGAGTCCTAAATTTTCCTTAGAGATACTAGAAGGAGGAAGAGATCCCAACAGAGGAATTATTAAAATCATTTTATCAAAATGCACTGGTTTGTTTAAGCAAGCTGCTTCCACAAGACTGTTAGGGGGAAGCCTTTGGGATCAGAAACGCAAAGAGAAAGGGAGAGGCAGATGAAACCGCAGACGTGTGGTTACCATACTGGCTTGAGAAGCAGGAGATTGGCTTCAAGCTTCTCCTCCCCTCGCTTTGGGCCCGTGACCCCAGCCCAGACCTCATGTTTCGTGCACCAGTGCTGTAATCTCACTGCCTTTCACAGTGAGATGTGAAACAAAACCAGATCTTGAAACCCCAGTAATAGCCATGAAATGGATGTACGACATCCTACGTGAAATTATGGCCCTTTGTTTCCGCTTCTCTCAAGAGGGCACGTCCGTGGTGATGGACACTGGCGGCAAGGGCTGGCAGGAGCTGGTGGCCAGATCAATCATCAGGCAGCGCGTTCAAGGGTCTGGACCATGGCACATTAAAAACACTCACCTTCAGATCGAAGATCTTCTTGTCGCACAGGGCGCAGATGTGGGGGAAGTGAAGGGGGGCCGCGCCGCGGAGGTCGCCCAGCTGGTGTGGCGGCAGGGAGCG